TTCGTCCGCACGAGCCCCACGGCGACGTGCACATGTAAACGAAATTCTCTAACCGTTCTCTACTCCCACATAGTTCGCACATTAATAATTCGATATATTAAATGAAACTTGATATATCAACACCAGAACTACCGGGCAGTTAAAAAGAATTTATTTTAGATTTCTTCTTTAAAAGTTTAGTGAAAAAATACATATATTTTTGTAGAATGTGATTACGTAAATTAATATACTGATACTCGAACGAAAATATAATTGAATCTAAAAAAAAAATGTAAAAGAATCGATTTGATTGTTCAGTGATTCTAGTGTCATTAGTTCGAGTAATACGAACTGTCGGGTTTCTTATCGCAGGGCAATCATTTGAGTGATTAATCGCATGTTGCAAAGTTACGTATTCTATGTTCATTTACTCGTCAAGAATGCATGCAAACAAACAGTGTGTATTTTGATTAATCAAATATTTACCTGATTTAACAAAATATTTCTTTTTATTTGAATAATTCAATCTTTTACTTTACACGATCTAATACAGTAGAAACTTAACTAGTAGTTCACTATTAATCTACTAATAATTTACTAGCAACTCACCAATATCTCGCATTTACAAAACATCGTTAAATACTTAATCCAAAATCCAGCAACCTACTAAAACTATTTATAAACCTCAAGTTATCTCGTTATCTATCCGTAACGCCTTAACACTCCAACTACCCAGCATCCAATATAATCACCATGTAATCCTAAAAATTGCAACAACGTTTTTCTACTACTTCATATATTTACCATGCCAGACTAAACCTATTTACCTTTAAGATCAATTCCAATATCGAACAGCTTTAAAACATCGATCATTCCAACATAAGGAAAATGAAATCCGCCATCTCGACTTTATTAGAGTTCTAATATTAACGCGAAATCCCCATAATAAGGACCCTACCATAACACTGTACCCCGTAACCCCTGTTTGACGAATTCCCTAAGAGAGCAGGGCAACGAGTCCTCGAGCCCTTACGCCGGGGGTGCATTAAGAGGTCCCGACGCCGCCAGCCACTGATTTCCCTCACGAAAAGAAATAATTTATCCGAGTCGAATCGCGCGTGACGGCGATTTATCTGTCCCCGTGACGCGAGCTTTCCGCGCCGGAAAAATATTACGCCGCTTATCGCGGTATTACTATATTGCCGACGTGTAGTATATCAGTACAGGTGACGCGTCACTGCGCCCCTTATATCATCCCCGTTCTTCCGACGACGCGAATATTCTCGCAGCCGTGTCGGTCCGCGATTAATTAGGCGCCATGAATCACGCGCGTGGAAGACGCCTCCTCCTCCTCCCCTTTCCCACCACCCACACCCCGGGAGAAACTCGTCATGAATTTCCTCCGTTGATCGATCACGATTCACGTGCCCCCTCGGCTCCTTTGTTTTGCTCGTTTCACTTGGCGCGGAGAATAGGGCGAGAACACGGGACAACGGATTTATTTCCCGATATCGGGAGCCTTGGAATAGCGAATAAACAATTTAACCCTTTGCGGACGAAGATTCTTTGAAGTATACGAAACCTTTAGCAGATGAAGCTAAATTCTATATCGATTGTCTAAATAATTAAAAGGAAACTATGTACTGATCTCTTGCTGTTTGAGTAATTGAATCGTTCGTCTGCTACGTACTGTTTCAAATAGGAAAATTTGATTCGTTCGCAGAGGGTTAAAGGGGGAAGTTGGAAGAATATGTGAACGTGCCGTTTAAATGTGGATTTTGTGAAATTTGTGGAACCTTTAGGAAACAAATCGAAAATTTTCCAGTGTTAAACTCGGAATTGGACTAGTAGAGGGAATATGAGGCACTTTCGAGGAAAATAAGTTGCGAAATTGCGTTAAAGTTGGTTTTTAAGCTGATTGAAGCTAGTGTTATTCGAATGAAGTTGAATGTGAAATCGAGCTTGATACAAAAATTGTTAAGGAACTTACTGAATGAAAATTTGTATTGATGGTAGAAACATTCGCGGTCGATGTTACCGTAAAGGTAAGTTGATTTTTAAATGGCACTATAAGAGTTACACGTTGTTCATCGTTAATAAAGAACTTTATTGTCCGAAACATTTTCTGCGAAGCTATGAATGGTACTCAAGTTTCCGAAAGGCAATCAGTGATTATTGCCATTAGCATAACAGCTTTATAATTGGCCAACGAACGTTTATGCAAATTCCACCCCTGCAGACTGCGGAATTACTTGCGCAGTTTCGCGGCAACTCCGAAGATCGAGTGGAAATTTTTGAATTAACCAGAACGAGCGAAAGAGTGTCTTTCAAGCGAGGATAAGCGAAATTGAAGTTGGAGGGCTCGTTGGCGCCTGTCCGAATTAAGTTAATGAAAGGGTACAGTGAAGTTGAAGAGCACTGGTTCGATTGTGACTCGTTTAAATGTTTCACAGTTAAAGCATAATTCGAGGGAAGTTCGCGGACCGATTAAAACGAGTTTCGTATGACGGATAATAAATTAGTCGGGAACAATCGATTCGAAAATTTTCTAACACTGTCGTTTGTGCTTTTACGATACTCGAACGAATGAAAATGTTTGGAATTAAAAGCTAATAGTCTCATATGCAACGATATGCTAATGATATTACGATTACAGAGCGAGAAGGGGATTCATTACTTCCGCTGGAATTAACCGGTATATATTTGAATGAAATTTAAATATATCACGCACGATAAAAAGACGAAATTCAGAAGCACGTGTCCAAACGGAATTTAAACCTGCGAATATTCCATAAACGATGGGAAATGAGATTAATGGTAATTACCGGCCCTGTTTGTTTGAGTCAAACTATACGGGCCGCTTCAAAATATATGCGAACAGGTGGAATTTATGAAATCGAGCGGTTTTCGCTGTTCCTAGCTGCGCGAACGTTATAAATATGAGGAATGTCGCTATTTATAATAATTCAAACGACTTTGTGTAGAAATCGAATGTCCAATGCAGATCGGCTCCTGTTGAATGTCATCGGGTGACATTGATAAAAGAAGGAGATATCCTGATTGAACTCTCGGTTTCTTATATCATGGAAAATTTATATCGTCCTAAAAAGTGTCTGATTTAAGCTTATTTTGAAGAATATTGAGCAATTTTTGTGATAATTTGTACATTTCTTAACGATATTACTGCGAATTCAATGTACCACGCTAAATTACTCGCAAAATCTTCATTGTACACACAACATTTCGAACAAAATTAATCTCAAAATATCCTATCTTCTTATATATCATTAACAACTAACATTTTTACCATTACATACACTAAAACCAATTCTAAAAAAACTGTCTCCAAAGTTATTAATTACCAAGCACAGAACAGAACCCG